CTCTCCGTCTCTTTTTTCCCTCTTCTTTTTTCCTCTTCAAATTGCATTATCCCAATTTGTCATTTTTTCTTTTTTTTTTTTTTTGCATACATCATATAAATTCATTGGGAAAAAAAAATGAAACGAAAAAAAAAAATTTGTTTTCCTTTCCGATTTTTGCAATTGCTATGGTTAAATCAAACCATACATAATTCATGAGCAAATGACAGATAGATTTTGTATTATTGGTAATATAACTAACACTTAACAATAAGCAAACCCCCGCCCCTCCTCGTTTCCCCCGCCTTCCATCTCCCGTTTCCCGCCATATCACAATACATTTACTAATATCAAATGTATTTACATAAACGATTGATTGCATTGATCAACCAATCAACCATACCTGTGACACACACACACACACACATACACATCAAATAAATAGGTGTGGCAAATTTTTATTTCTATTTTTTCTTTGATTATAAAATAAATTTTGAACTGAATTATCTCATTTAATTATTTTTAATTTTAAATACTTTTAAAAATAAATTTACACAAAATTTAAATTTTCTTGATTTCTTTAACATCTTTAAAATTAAATTAGAAATTCGAAAATTACGAATTTTTAATAATTTCGATACAAATTTTTATATCGTTAATTAATCTAATTAATCTAAGGATTATAAATTTCATCACAACATTATCGTAATTAGTGTTATTGGGTATGTTTGATTTATAGCAAAATCATTTTTATAATTTATTTTATCAAAATTTTCCAAGTAATGAAAACATTTTAATAACCATTGGAAACATTAACTTGCATATGATATAAGTGTAAATATCATATTTAATCATTGATATTATCTTATCATCAATTTTGTGATGTTAATGTCAACAATTTCGTAATATATTGCTCATACGATACAATATAGATAGATTGAATGTGTTTATTTATTTTTAAACATTCATTAATATAACAACAGAATTAATGAGCGGTTAAATGATAATAATATTTCATTAAATATGATTCTTTTTCTTTTTGAGTTTTGCTTTATTTTAGGATTGATATTTTCTCTTTTTTTCTGTCACCATATGAATACTAATTATTAATTAATTATTAATTGAAATGGCATAAAAAAAGTGTTTTTGAAAATACTGTCATATATATATACATATATGACAAATAGCATTTTATCACTTTCTAAAGTTATCATAATTTAAACCATGATATTATAAGTTATGTTTTGAATGATGATAAAGAATTGATCCCATTAACCACTATCATTATTCTATTAATGATAAAGTTTAAGCTTTTATCATTATTCTATTGATTGACAAAGTTTAAACCTTCAAATCTGCAAAATTTACCATCGTCTTCTTATTATCATATATTTGCTATCTTGTTATAATTTCAACATATAATACTTTTATCAATAAATAATCCCTTTTTATCAGCAAATAATCATTCCATTTACTAATCAATGATCTCTTTTATTAGCAAATATTCCCTTCATCAATCGATAATGATCACTTTTATCAGCAAACAATTTCTTTATCAATCAATGATTACTTCATTTAATCAATTAATATAATATCAAAAATATAACTAAGGCATAAATAAAATGTTTGCATATTATCACTAACTATATCATATAATTAATTAATTAATCATGAATTATATGCTAAAATGATTTGTTTTTACTTAATAAATTTCCGTATTTAAAAAAAAAGTAGTTAGAATAGATTTTACCATAAGATCAAGTCTAGACAGGAAGATCAAAGCACACAGATTGGCTGATGATGAAGTAACCGGTTAAAAGAAGGGAGAAAAATGAAGAAGAAGAAGAAGAAGAAGAAAAAGAAGGTGAAGTGTGGAATAGTTTTCCTGCTTCCTCTTCCGCTTTCAACTTACCTTTTCATCAGTTTACTCCTTCCAGCTTATTTATAACCGGATTTCATCCCTCATTCCAATTCCTCTCTTTCATTTCTACCTCCCTCTCTCTCTCTCTCTCTCTCTCTCTCTTCTTT